GATGTGTCCCAGGCGCTTCTCTATGATCTGAAACGAAAAATGGGGGAGACTCAGGGAGAGACACCGCTGCCGGGGAGGAGCTGGGGCCGGCAACCACCGCACCCCACCCAGCCGGCACTGGGGACCCCCGGGGGGGCCGGGTGGAGCAAAGCAGGGGGGTGCCCGAAGGGGTTAAGGCAGCAGAACAGGCTGTTCCCGGCGGCGGTGCCAAGCCGCTCCTTCCCGGGGCCACTGCCAAGGCAAGGTCCATGTGACACTGCCGAACCCCGGCGCAGCCGCCCCGGTGGCAGAGAAGGGCCCTTCGCCCCAGCGGGCGCTGGCACGGCGGGTGCCACGAGGTGGGCAGGGGGTCCCCACCCACAGCCTCGTGGGGGGAGAGCTGGGTGCTCCCACTGGCCCCAGCCCTTCAGGGTACACAAAGCACCTGACTGCCATGCAGCCCTCCCCGCTGCCTCAGTTTCCCCACTGGGGCACCCAAAGGCCCCCCTGGGGCAATGGGAGAAGCCAAGTTCCCCTTGCATTTGGCTGCATTTTGACACAGGGCTCATCCCAGCCCCCTCGTGTCATGGCCGAGAGCCTGCGGGGCGCGGGGCCATGGGACCACCATCCCCAACCCCAAAAGCAGCTGGCTCACCCCAAACCCCTCCAGCACCCACACGCTCACAGGGGCATGGAGACCTCCTCCGGGCAAGCGGGAGCTGGCCACCCTGCCGGCACCACATGCCCCTGCTTGCCCCGAGTCCCCAGACGCGTTGCAAGCGTTAATTTAATCTCCCGTCTGCCCTAATTTACAGGGAGAGGAGCGTGGCTAAGGGGGTTGACCAAGGTCCCGGAGCTGGGCGGTGGCAGAGGATGGTGTGCCACCTGCACGGCCCGGCCACGCTCCTGCCCCTCTCCTTCCCCTCCGGCCCACGAAACTGTTGTCCTGTGCCAGCACCAGATGGTCATAGGAGCTGGGAGAGCCCGAGATGGGGAGGGTGGAAAGGGAAACTGAGGCAGGGGGTGGGAGGGAGCCGGGTCCGCAGCCCCGAGCGGCAGAGCTTTACCTTCACCGCGTACTCCTTGTTGGTGATGAGGTTAACGCAGGACTGGACTCTGGCATGGGCCCCTTCTCCCAGCACCTCCTCCTGCAGCTGGTAAACATCTGGCAAGGAAGAGGTCGCCTGAGCTGCCGGCACCACCGCAGCATGGGACACCACTGCCGTCCCTTCTCCCGGAGCTGTCCCCGAGCCCAGAGATCCCAGGATGCCCCCAGCCCTGCCGCAGGCCGGGGGGGGACCCCGGGGTCCCTGGGCAGCCCCGCTCACCTTCAAACCTGCCAGAGAAGCTGTCGGTGGCTCTGCAGCGCTTCTTCTTCTTGTTCCTTTTCTTGGCGTCAGGGATATCAATGGGTTGACTTGAAGGCATGTCTGTGCCAGAGCAAAGCCACCGGTGTGAGTCACCCCCGTCCACCCTATGCTCCCCCAGCATCGCCGCCCTTGGGGCAGCTCCCCAAAGCCTTCGGGGAAACATAAAGGGCCAACATTCCGGGGTCCGGGATGGGAGAATTCCCTCCCCCAGGGACACAGCCCCACAGGAGGGCACCCACAGCACCCACAGCTCACCGGGACGGGGCGGGCACTCGAAGTTGAAGACGGGCTCCAGGTGGTTGGACTGGTCAAACTCCAGGTCAAAGGGGTTTTGTCCCTGTGGGGGCCAAGAACAGGAATGAGATGGCAGCTGCCGGATCAGCCGCTACCAGCCGCCTGCGCCAAGCCCAGTACGGCCACAGAGCCCGGCACGCTCCTGGTCTTGGCATACGCTCGGCTCACCCGCCCTGCCGGTGCAGGACACCGGCTCACGGTGCCGCTGCTGGAGGGATACGGCGGAGCCCCAGGCAGAGCCAGAGGAGGAGGAGGAGAAGGAAGGCTTTGACCACATCTCCTGATGGGGATGGCACTGCAGGGTCATGCCTCCACGCCAGCAGCCCCAGGCCAGCGCGTGGGGGATGATGAGAGGGATCAGGGCCGCCCGCACCAACCCAACCCCAGGTCTCCACCCAGACCTGAACTACAGTGAAGGGGGGAGGAAGAAAAGCCACAGGGCAGGACGGGCTCCAGGGCCACCACGCCGCATCCTCCCGGCTTCCAGCAAGGTCAAGAGCCCACTCAGCCCCGCTCCGGTCAACGTCCTGCCTGCCGGGCTGCGAGACACCTGCGACCTGGCAGGATCAGGCCCCACTCAAAACCCTCCGTGCGCCCCGGATCGGCGAAGGGCACGGGAACCACTGCCTCCCCCACCCCAAACCCCAGTGGCTCTGGTCCCAGCACCCCAAAGGGGACATGGGGACCC